TTTTTATAGACTACCTAACGTACTAAGCGCGGAAAAAGTGAAACTGTGTCCTGTGTCCCACCAGACCGTATCCCAGTCCCTGTGTCCCGATCAGACCGTGTCCCAGTCCCTGTGCACCGCTTGGCCTAATCGCAATCTTAGGTGCCTGAAGGCTTTCAATATGTTCATGCTTTCTGTCTGCGTTGTCCAGCCTGCTGCTGTGCGTGGGAGGAAGGTGATTCGGCGGGCGGCGCACTTTCTGTCTGCTTTGTCCAGCCTGCTGCTGTGCGTGGGAGGAAGGTGATTCGGCGGGCCGCGCACTTTCTGTCTGCTTTGTCCAGCCTGCTGCTGTGCGTGGGAGGAAGGTGATGCACACTGGCCGGCTCACCAGATCCTCAGTCCGGTTTAGAGAGCAACATTCGGGTGCAGTCTGGAATGATGCCTGGACAGTCTGAGGAGTCATTCAGGCGAAGAGGAGTCACTTAGACGGAAGAGGGCTTAGGGAACAAGTACGAATCTTTGACGTACGAACCACGAGGTGTGATTACGCTGCTGCTAACATGACCATTTATCGATACTTTCTTTTTATCTTTTTATCTCTCCCGTGTCGTTCCCCGAATGCCTGTTGATGGTCTGTCCAGAATTAGTTTCGCGTAGCGTGCGAGACAGCACGTGCAGAAACGACTGAGTTCGTCCGATGGGACGCAGAAGCTATAGCTGTAGCTTCCGCTATTCTGGGCGGAAGACCGGAGATCACCGTGAGGCGGATCTCCTGTAATACTGAAAATGAAGAGATATTCCTCTGAGAGACACTAGTGTTCCTGCAAGGTGCACACATCGCGAATGGCCATTATCGTGCTGTGTTGAGAGCAGTCAGTATAATGATGAAGTTTTCCTCATTATGTAATGATCCAGTGGACAAACCAACAGCATGGTCCATAGGCTGATGTATCCATAGCTGATATATCTAACAATCGTCCACGTAAAATATATAGAGCACTGATATCCACATACGGCGCGTATCAGAGGAACACACCAGTTTGTCAGCTGGCACGCTGTCAATTACCTGCATTTTTGCAATGGCTTAAGTGGATAAAACTGAACAAAATGTTAAAGCTTAACAAGTTTTAGCTTGTGATGACGCAAAATCATTTTGTATGTTTGCGGACGCAATTGACAGTCCCGGGGCGCAAAATGAGTTCCAACATCGGCGGGCCCTGAAACTCCAGTCATCATTATTATCATTATTGTCATCGTCATCACACTCCTGCGAGATGTTTCCCCTTGTTCAGCGTATAATTAAATACCAAATAAGCTTAATGGAATGCTGTTCAAGCGAAGCATTACATGTAAACCGTGTCCTGCCAAACTAGGCGTAGGTATGTAAGCAATGCGAAAGGTTGTGCCTGCTAGGACTCCAGATAGTAGAAATTGTTTCGGAAATCGGAGGTACGGGCTCGATTCCCTGCCGTGCGTGCCATTCTTACTAGGACGAGAGGTAGATGTCGCCATACAGCCTGACCAGCTAGGTGTGTCGTAAAACCCCAATGACGATGACGTTGGGGGTCATGCATAGTAAGACAATTGTGGGTACTGCGTGTTATATTCATACCTAAAAGTAATAAGTGTTAATGTTGTCAAACTACTACCAAGGCGTGCTGCTTGAATCGCAAGTGGATTTGGATTGAAATCGCGCAGCATGGCAAAAGTGATTTTTTTCAGCGTGCGACGATGGCTTTGCTCGCACAGCGTCTATTCCTTACCACGCTATAAGTATTTTTACCTATTTGCTGTTAAAGCATCACGCACTTTTTATCACTTCGTTCACAATGCCCCTTGTACCATACCGTTATTGCAATATTACCGATGAGACGCTTTTCGCGTCGCGTGGTGGGTGAAACAACGGTTATCGGCATAAAACGAGATAACAGTTATCGGCGTGTATAGATAAAACCCCTCTTTGGGGAGGATGCCACCGTTTTTGTACTTTTCAACTCATAGCCTCTTGAGACGCGTCCGATTCGATCAGGTGGTACCAGTTGTCTCTGGAAACTATGGACACACCACCATGAGGGTAATGCTTTTGATATTCTTTGCTTTTTCCAACGCGTGCATTTTGCGTACACAATGCACTACTCTGGCCGAAATGTGGGCGCAATAAACGCTGCGAGAGCTTGAAATAGTCTGTTTTTTTTTAAAAGAAATGCGCATATGAGGCCATCTTCGCACGAATTTTACGAAGCGTCATGCTGCGCTGTTGATTTCTCCCCTGTGGCGTTAAAGGGAATGTTTCACATGTTGAGATATTGGAGCAAGCACAAATGTGATGAAACACGCCCATTTATGACTGTTGGTATACTTTTTAAGTAGGAGAGAAGGTTGCAGACTGAAAAGTTCTCTGCCTTGTAAATATGCTCCTCAATGCGTCATGGCTTGATTATGTCATCGTACCTCGGACAGCATTGATTGAGAGCCAGTTGACGGCCGTAATGTCTGGAAATCCTGCTCACGAACGCCAAATATGAACACCTCGACAAAATCATTTTTCCTGGCCTTGATCGCTACATGGCATATGAAATGGCAGGATTGCAATGACGTCATTACGACGTCATGAGTGTGGAGGTGACTTTGAAATACTCTGCCCGAAATATTCTTCCCATTTTCGCTGGCGTGTGACTTAGAAGCTAGAGGAGCTTAGGTCTTAGGAAGGGCAGGATTGTGAACAGCACCGAAAGATCTTCAAGATGGCTGTTTCAGTTAAAAATCCCATATAAGTGTGGAACGCTCCCTCTTAGCACGGTGACTTTCCGAAACGCACGTTGGCTTTGGGAGACATTGTTTACTTGGATGCTTTGATGTTGACTTTGTTGCTGTGTTCACATAGTAGGAATAGGCCAGAGACATATTACATGATCTAATGACGTACTGGCTCAAAGTTCCACTTATTGCTGAATGGTGCAATAAGTGCAGGTGCCGCTGAGACATCGCAGCATCGTGTTCATGAAGCACGTGTTGCGGGTTACGTCATGATAAAGCCACCGACTTCATCTTGTCGGGTTGCCAAGATCTAAGATCAGACGTTCAAAAATCGCCAGAACGGGCGGATTCATGGTCCGCGCACGACAGCACGTGAACGGATGCACACTCTTGCCAATTCGATTGTTCGTTTTCTTTTCTTTCTGAATCGAATGGTCCCGTGTCACTGCCGCGCCTAATCGTTAAAATCTGGACTTGGTTTTGGCTATTTTTATTTTTTCTCATAAATTTGCGTTTCCCATGTCATTGCATTGGTAAATGCTATATTTCGTTACGCGTGCAATATGACCGGAAAATAACCTTCGTAAGCGAATGTCCAAAACAACACACCTTTGGTGAAACTACGCATCTTGTTACTAAAACTTATAGGAAGGTGCGACTGCAATTGCAAATATATAAGCATCTAGAAGTGGTGAGGGCCGCGCATGGTCGCTTAAGTCGACATTTTGGTATTGTTTCGTGGCGTGATGACAAGTGGCGACGCCGCCTGTGTTAATCCTCTCTTGAGTCAATCAAAATAAGCATTCTAAGTCCAAAGCTTCTATCTGGGAGTATCTCACCCTCACCAACACCCAGTCCACAAACGACGTCCATGCGTGCGGCAGTAATGCGGTGCTTCAGTGTGTCTCGTAGATAATGCGACTTCTACTCAGCAACAGACAACTCCCGTAACACAGTTCATTTAAATAGAACGGCCATGACCATGCGGTACGGTAATGATGTGGCTTTCGTCATGATCACCAATGGGAGGCTTATACGGCATGGTATCAGGGGCCCAGAGACTAAACCAATACACAAGGAGAGAGCGAGGTCCCTCGCAATCTCCGGAACTGGCTGATGTAAGGCGCGCGTTGTAACGCGTTAGGAATGACTTATATTGGGAAGTATCCAATCACGTGACTCACTGAAGTCCGTTAGTTCAATCAACAAGCCTGATTGTTCTAGTTTCCGACGTTCCAGATGGCTTGATTTGAATGACGTATATTTCTAGAAGGTTGGATGTTTCCAAGTTTTTCTCATTCTAGGGACTCTAGGCGGTAGACTCTAGACTCTAGCCTGAGAGCTCTAGGCTCTCATTCTAGAGGCTGCAGCCTCTAGCATTCTAGATAACTGGTTTTGAATTATCTTTTTTCCCAGAAGGCTGCTACTCGCCTCAAAATTACGTATGTTGTTCAGTGCATTGATGAGGATCATTAGTCACATAGATAACACGGTGTTAATAGCCTTTCCTCGGAGAAAAGCGGGCGAATTATTCTGCTGTTGCTTCGAAAAAGAGATATTGCTGAAATATCAAGTCATCTATATCTCCGTTTTGCTGGTTTTTTCTCCGCGGAATAAGGCTATTATTACTGTTTTTCTCTACTGACGGATAAGATGCCCTCAAATGTTTTTCTCATCCTAGGGGCTTGTGAGAGTTCGACGGGTTATATGCCTGAATTTATCTAAAGGCGTTTTCAGGTTTCCAGATGTCTAAATATACACCCACCCGTATCTCCATTCTCCTGGTTTTTCTCCGCGGAAAAAGACTTACTGCTGTTTTTCCAGGAAGATAAAATGCCCCCAAATGTTTTTTCTCATCCTAGTGGCTTGTGAGTGTTCAATGGGTTGTATGTCTAAATTTATCTAAAGTTTTTCAGGTTCCTAGATATCTTCGTGTCGCGCGACAGGCATTGCTAAACAGTCGTAAACAACGTAAAATGTCCTAGATATTTACCGGTCAAAATCAGGGGGTCTGCATTGGAGAACACCTTCTGTGAGATGCGGCAAAGCACCAAGCTTTAGCTGTTCCCTAATAAAAATAAGACGTTCTATCCCGAGTGTTTGCGTCTTGTCGGATGGATGCTATGAACGCGTACCTGCTCAGTTTTCCTTCTTGTTTATTGGCTTGGTCACGAAGCATGTGGTCTTCAATGTGGTCCTCCGTCCTTGAAAACACTCAAGGTGCCACTAAAATACTGAGATCCAAACTATCGTATATCTTGTTTTTACTCCTGAGCACACTGTCATGGTCACAAGCATGTCACCAAGCGCACATGAACGTTGGTCGTCGTGAAAACCGTTGTGTTTTCTGCTTTGGAAGTGTAGCGACACGAGGTCAACACTTAGCCCTGCGGGTCACCAATAGGTGGCGCTAACGAGTGCTGTTGTGTGTGTGACATTGTGCGTCGTGTGATAACTGTGCGTGTCTCCATAGCTTCGCTGCACTGTTAATGTTGGGTAATATGAGTGGTATGCCTACCACAGAACGATTGCTGGTATAGCTATTGTTTGGCCGCTTATTCCATTTTGACTAACATAACTAGGCAGATGTTGGCTGCTGTCAAATGATGCAGTCGAACCGAGCCATGTCGATGATAATATATTGTGTGCAACCAGACAACGCAGCATTATTTATTCTTCGTGATCAGACATCTGTCCCTCTTATCCTCTATCCCGCTTCATCCTGCATCCTCGCGACACCCCGCTTGTCTGGGGCAGGCTGCATGCGTCAGCCACGGGTGGGCCGAGAGCCCCGTGAGAAGGGGAACCCCGACTGGGTACTCAGCGCGCATACGCGGGTTAAAGCCCGGCGGTTGGCCCCCCAGGCACATGCCAATGTGCTCCACCATTAACCATTTTCCTTCATCCCAAGACCCTGAAATGATCATTTCTGGTCGAAAGGGCTCTAACCATAAAAAAACAATCTTCGTGATCGGTCCCTCTCTGGACGCGTTTCCCTGTCTGTCAGTCCGGGCCGGCACACCCCAATGCCGGCACTGATGTTTCAAACCGGACCAGCACAACCAACGTAGCAGTGCTAGTCCCGGCTACTCGGCCGCAACCAGCCGGTTGACAGCCCGAGTCCTGAGGTGCAGGTGATTACGCTTGTGTCGCAGTGCACGGGGGCTCGGGTTGTCAACTGAAGAAAACTGCAGGGCAACTACTGCCACCCTTCCCTTTCGTCGCCGAAGACAGCGACGTGCGCGACAGAAGTACCAGAGTCACCTTGAGACGTCTTTATTTTTCAGATAACGTGTAAATGATGTGAAAATGCCGAACCTTACGTTTCAGTTATGTCGACGTAACACTCGTTTTGCCTGTTGGTCAACTTAGTTTCCTGGCTTGCACTCCTGTCCGGTCTAGCTTGCTGTTCCGTCGGAGTAACCGATTGAGTATTTTCGAGTCCCATGTCTGTGTTTGTGCGCCGGTATACTTCCTTCGTTTTGATCATGAGAACTACTGGCATTGCGCACGAGAACACCAGGATGTAATTAAGCCACACCGTATTCTCGCTGAGCGGCTTGATGAGAAACAGGACGAGATAGAGCGCAGACACCAGGTTGAAGCAAAAGCTTATGATGGCGCCGATGACGTCCGTGGACACGGGGTAGCTCAGCTCGGCGGCGTACTCGAGGAGGAGCGGCGACGTAGAATACGCGAACGAAATCGACAGCAGCGTCGAGCAGTAGAGCATTGACAGTGAAAAGGGCAGCCACTCGGCGATCAGCGCCAGCTGCCAAACAAAGCAGGCGGCTGCACAGGTGAGGAGGCCAATGATGGTGGCTTTCATGTGGCCCCGGAAGATGTCTGTCAGGCAGGCCACGACAAGCGCCGACAGAGAAGAACTTATGCCCGCCCAGAAGCCTAGCCAGCCGGCCTCGTCTTGGGTGACGCCTATCTGCCCAACATTGATATCCAGCACTCCGAAGTAGGCCGCCGGAACGCCGAGTGAGAGGCTGTACACGGCTACCACCCACGGCAGGTCAGGAGCTTTCGCCGCCTGCCGCAGCCCGCTCCAGAACGACGCGGTGGGCGCGGCGGCGCTAGCGGATGGCGGCAGCGGCGGCCGAGACGGGTAGTACGCGAGCGCCGCCAGGAACAGGGCGGCCAGAAACCCCGCCTCCACGTACATTAACGTCATGACGTCATCCCTGGTGGCGTCAGTGTTGACGCCGTCCGGCTGTCGCACGATCAGCGGCCCGATGAGGAAGGCGCCGCTGCCGCCCAACCGGTTGGCGATGCTGGATAGGCCAGTGGCCGTGGTCCGCTGCTCGGTTGGGAACCATAGCGCCGAGATGTGGGGCGGCACCGCCATGGCCATGATGCCGGGCGATGCCGTTAAGGATGGCGGCGGTGAAGGCGGTGGCCGTGAAGACGCCTTGTTCAGATGATACACATCGGACAGCCGTGCCAAGCGTCATGGCACCGGCCATGGTCAGAATGGCAGGCCGCACGCCGTACTTGTCAAGCAGCCAGCAGTAGGGCGCCATGAACACTGCAAAGGCCAGACAAGCCATGTCGCCCAGCATCGAAATGATGGTGTTGTTCCATTTGGGGAAGGCTGCCTGTGCAGCTTTAGTGATGGGCCCCGAATGTGTTCCATATGGCGCACTGGGAGAAGCTTAGCGCCGAGTACACCAGAAGAATATACCAGCGTCTCCGGTACGTCCTGAGTGCTGCTGCCCTGTCGATGGTATCCGCGGCATGGGTCCGTCCCGATGACTCAATGCGGCCATTTCTGTGCTTTTCTGAGCATCCGACTGTGGTCCAGACAGGTCTGCCGACAAAACAACAACGCGTGTTTGTCAAACCCGTCATGTGAACTGCGTTTCTGCACTAGGGTTCGGGGGAGGGGGGGGGGGGGGGGGACGAGTGCGTCTAACACTGGCTAACTGATTTGTTTTTGCATGCTCTGTTTAGCCGACACATTTCCTGACGCTGAGCCGGCGCGATGCACCATGCACCTGGTTTGTTCTTGCTGACGTCAGCGCGAGGCCTATTCGTATGCGTACAACACTAGCTGCATGACGGGTGCTTGTCTATCGCGCAGTGCTGTTTGTCAGGTTTTAATCCATTAGAGGGATCGTGACGCACGTCATCGGACCTTCTTTTGTGAGCGCCTGCGAGTGCCATGGTCATTGAGTGGTCAGGACCATGGCGAAAGCAGGGATTGCCCCTCCCCTCACGTGGGAGCCGAAGGCGCAAGCGAATCGGCTAGTACGCCCTTTAATTGTCTGGTTGTGTCAGCCCACAGAGGTCAGAGCGGCCCAACAGGTCACAGCGGCATCACATGGCTGTCATGCGTCATCACATACCAAAAGAAAGGGAGCGACAGGGACGTGCAGGGGCGTGCAGACAAAGACAGGGACGTTAGAGAAGGCTCATGTCGTTTAACCTCTTCATACGCCTGTTGCCGCAGGCACGTCAAGAAATATTGCAGTGCCTCGGTAATAGAGACTTACCTGTGAATCCTGGCATATTTCGACTGCAGCGTTACTTGCCGACGGCGGCGCCTGGACTGTTGGAGGGTGTCGCGGACAGCCGCCGACCTCAGATTCGTCTCGCTCCAGTGACGTAGCGCCACTGCCCCTCCGCCGGCGCCGCTGCCCGCTTATCTCCGCCCGGGGCCGTCCGTGCGTACCGGGTTCGGCTGGGACGAACGCACCCAGCACTGGCGAACCGGCGGCCTACCGGCCGTCCCCCGACGTGCCCGCGGCACTGGCGTGCCGGCGCCTACCGACTGCCCTCCGACGTGCCCCGCCTCGACCGCTCTTGACGATTTGCTGTGGACTTCCCCGATAGGAGGTAAAGCCGTTTATTTGCCTACGTCCGCAATAATAAATCATGGTTTTGTACCACACTTATCTGCGCTTTAAGTACACTGATTGCAGACCACAGGTCCTTCTGGACGTTTACTGGTCCAGCTCGCGGGACAGTAATGGCCGTGCACGGGACTCTCACAGATTATCTCGAGGGTGGGGAAAGGGCTGGGGGTTGGAGTGGTTGGCGCAGTCGTCGAGCTGCGCGCTGAGGAAACCAGAGGCACGGGATACGACTCCTGCGGTGCTTGCCCCTCTTCGTAGGAGATAGGCAAGTAAGCTGAGTTCGTCACAAAGCTCCAATGACATATTGGCATATTACCGGTCGTCGTGTAATGTGACCGTCGAGCAGCTATCAGTAAGTGACCATCGAGCAGCTATCAGTATTGCGCCTAGATTGGTATTCAGTGCCGATTGTAATGCTTGCACGATATAAATTAGCTTTACTCGCAACCGTGTCAGGAACACAGCGATGTCGCCAGGGTATGGAGGCTCGGTGAAGGGAAAATGTGTGGGGGACATAAAAGTCACATTAGAGGTCCTACTTGACGGGTTTTTAGCTATGCAATGCTTGACTGATGTCCGCGTGGCCTTAATTTCCACGACCCGCTTTTCAGGAATGTTGTCATCTTTGAAGGGCAAGCGTGTATATGACTTGGCTACTGGTAATAACGACAGCGACGAGCAGGTCTCTATCGCTAGCCCAGCCGTAAAGATAAAGCCATCACCCAGCGCTGAGTGCGACTCCCGTCAAGCTTTTGGCGGTTTTTAAAAACAAGCTCTGATCTTATCTGTCGATGGGTGGAGAAAAGTGATTGTCATTTCGTGCTTTGCCGCAGGTGTTCGCCGGTTTGTTTCGTTCGGGAGCCTCGGGTGACAGGTGATGCTGCCGTCACCGCCTAAGAGGACATTTACCCGTCCCATCTGTGTTGGCGTTCTCGTACATCTGGGGTAGATTCAATTAAGTACTTCCGAAATGTCAGCCCGCTCCCGCAACTGCCAGAAAGGCTTTGTTTGCGTTAGGGTTTCTTCCCGACAGCTTCAGATGTTTTGTGGCGGTGCCATGGAATGGGTTCGCTATTCGGCAGTAGTAGTCAGTTATTCTTGCATGCCCAGAAAGTATCCGTTTGGGCGTTTTTTTTGTTTGTTTGTTGTTTGACAATGGTTTTTGCAATTATTCAGTTCCGAGAACCGCATCTAAAGGAATGTCAGAATGCCACGTTCTCTGCACTATTCGCCCAATTTATCTCGTGTCCAAAGTTTGCTGGCATTGCTCCAGTGGCTGATATCATGACCATTATGTCCCATCGCCTCTTCTGACATCAAAACATTCGGAGTGTCTGACGAGGTTCATGCAGTTCGTACTTCAGCCCGCTCGAAAGCTGTTGCAAGGCAGTGAAATCCGATCGAAGTTTCGGGCGTTGCAAATGCAATAACGTTGATAACGTTACCGGCGTTTAACGCCTCAGCAATGCTGACTGCGTTTCCGAAGGCGATAGTTGACTTGCTGGGGTCCTCCCACCCATCGTAGCGACCCAGCGTGGCGATTTACAGGGTTCATGTATCATATTCTACTGAAACATGGGAATCAAGGGTTTAGGTGATGCGTAAATCACCTGAAAAGTATTTAATTCTCTCTGGACGTATAAGTCACGATATTTGCCGCGAAGCATTTTGGTAACCGAAACTGATATCGATGTGTTCTTAGCGCCTCAGCACCCATCATAATGTATGAAATATTGTCACCAAGATATATCTCACGACAGCAAAATTTCCAGGGTTTCTAAAACATCCGGATGTTTAAGTATATTATCCCCCAGAAAAATCAAAAAAATCTCGGGCGAATAAAAGCAATGGGATGACATTTTACCCTCCTCGGAAAGAGATCGTTGAACACATGCCATCTGTTCGTCGGAACCTTAACTATGCATCCCATCCGGAATGTATTTGATAATTCCCCTTAAAGTCGCCCTTGGCATCTCATCAGCCGTCTGTTGCATCAGACAGTTCTGGGATCGCAAGGCGGTCCCACACTCTGTGGTTGGTTTAGCCGGTCATCGAACGATCCCGTACTTGCATCACATCGGTTGATTATCACATTATTTCCGAAACATGTGACTAGGAACCATTCCCGTTGGAGGCAGTATAATAAGGTTTGCTACCACGTACGTTCAATGCTCATTACGCTCACTAGATCTGAAGACGCAAGGCTGCTGTTGGTTGTGAACTTTGTGGCGTCGTGTGCGTGTTGGTGAGTACTTGCTACTGTAAAATAGAAACTATGGACTGACAAAATTCCTCTTTGTCTGGACTCGCGAGGACTGGCACGAGCGAGGTCGTAACGAGCAAACTATCACGCAAAGTAGTTAGAAATCTGCTACTAATATGATCTGCCATATTTTTGCATAGTACACAGTCTATTTTTTCGAGATCGCGAAGATTCGCAAAATGGGATTAAAAAGAAAACTCACTCATATCAATTGGGAACAAGGAACCTCGTGACATAAGTCAACAGTCATTATTTTCAACATCGCATGATGTCGGTTCTGAACCTTTTGCTCCGCAGATACCACTTTTTCTTTGCCAATTTCCAACACAAAAGAAATTTCCGAAGGCTCAAGTGTCTGAATATGCTTCCCATGGCCCTTTTGTGAACATGACCCATGCTGAAGATAGTCAAAATATGACTATTTTCACCCATTTTGGCTTTCGGACGGAATTAAACACCTGTTCACCAACGGGCGTGGGGATCTAATGCATTGGCAATTGCTCAGATTTCTTCACAAATAGGTGCTAGGGGTATAATATTATAATATATATAATCTTGAATATAGATATATATACATATATATGTATATACATATATATATACATATATATATACACGTATATGCATATATACCTATAAACATATAGATATATGTATGTATGTATGTACATATGTAGGTATGGGTATGTACCCTGATGTTATTTGTACCATTTGACATGACGTTGAAATGCGTTTGGCGCCTTAGCGCAAACAAAAATACCTGAAATGCGACCACCTAGTATATTTGTGGATTATAGAACTTATTAAATACATTAAGTGATAGCGCTAATGCGGGTGGATTAAACAACGAGCTAGGACAGAGCTCAGCAGGCTATCTTTACACAGACTGACAATGGCAGAAAAGTAGGCACATAACGTACGTAGGTTTTATCCAAGCCAAACGGCAAAATAGTCCGCATGCAACACACGTAGGTTTTACCGAAGCCAGTGGATATCCGATGCACACTGGTGAAGATGAATGATAAGTTGCACCCCTTCTTCATTGCTTTAAAACTGGTCCCGGCTTTCCGAATCGCCCGAACGGATCACCCACCTTCGTTGGACAGCATGACCAGTGGTCATTTTCCTGCTCCAGTTGGAACAAACCGATGGTGTTTTTGGGTGGCTAACATTATCTGAATTGTAGTAAATTGTGCAGGAAATTTCTCGGCCATGGCAGCAATCCCGGGTTTG